TGACAGCAAGCTCAACAAGAAGAAGTGGAGAGTGAAAGTGGAATTGTCATTGAATTGCCTCATTTAGAAGAAATGGCGGAGGAACGTGCAAATCGCAATCAACAAGTCTTGAGAGATTTTGCTTTGCCATCTACGGAAGGATCTCAAACAAGTATTGCTTGACTGGCAGTCAATGCAAATAACTTTGAGATTAAGCCGGCATTGATTCAAATGCTCTCACAAGAACAATTTGAAGGTAATACAACAAAGGATCCAAATGCTTATTTAGCTAATTTCTTGGAGATTTGTAACACAATCAAGTTTAATGGAGTAAGTGACGATACTATAAAGTTTTGATTGTTTCCTTTCTCTTTAAGAGATAAGGCTAAGGTATGGCTTAATTCACATGCACCAAACATTTTCATTACTTGAACTGATTTATCTAAGGCTTTCTTGAATAAGTACTTTCCACTTGGAAAAACTGTTAAACTACGCCTGGAAATAACAAGTTTTGCTCAATAGGACAGTAAATCATTATATGAGACTTGGGAGAGGTACAAAGAATTGCAATGGAGATGTCCACACCTTAGACTTCTTGAGTGGCTAACTGTACAAACCTTCTATAATGGTTTAACATATGCTATAAAAACTCATGTTGATGCAGTTGCAAGTGGAGCACTTATGGGGAAGTCAGCCAATAAGACTTAACAATTAATTGAAAAAATTGTAGCTAATAACTACCAATGAGCTAACGAGAGAGGTAATATTAAAGACATGCAAGTATGTATGAACTAGATGCTTTCAACATGTTAAGTGCAAAAATGGACAATGTGATAACAGTGCTAAATAGACATGGTGAGGTCGGTCCAACTTCTAAGGGTAATGTAGCATGTTGTACTCTTTGTGGAGGAAATCATGAAAGTACTAATTGTGCTACTATTGAACAGGTACAATATGTGAACAATTTCAACTGGCCAAATCAAAACAATCCTTATTCCAACACTTACAATCAAGGGTGGAGGAATCATCCAAACTTTGGGTGAAGAGACCAAGAAAATCAACAAAGACCAACCAATCCACGGGCTTTTCAATCAAAACAAGCACCAATTGAATCCAAACCCTCATGGGAGATGGCCATTGAAAAATTAGCCAATACTACCAATAGTAATATGGATAGATTAGCTAAAACAACCTTGGAGAGATTTGAATGACTAGAGGGAAGAATGGATCAATTAACCTCAATGTATAGAAATGTAGGAGTCCAACTCGATCAAATTGCCAATGCCGTGAACCATAGAAACTAAGGGGAGTTACCAAGCAAAACCGAAATCAATCCATGGGAGCATTGTAAGGCAATTACTCTCCGGAGTGGTAGACAATGTGATGGTCCTTTTAATGTTGGGCTTAAGAGAGAAGAAAAAAAAGGAAGAATAAGAGAGTTTGATTAATGACAAGAGAGAAATATTTCAAATAATACCCTATCCAAAAACATTCTTTAATTTTTTTACTCTTTTGGCTATAAAAAATATGTATCAGCTCATTCTAAACTGTAATGAATAATTAAGAAAAAACTATGCAGATGATGTCACTAACCTATGCCTCATTAAAGAATATAAAAATTTTGGTATGCTACATTAAGGGAAATATTTTCTTTGCTGTTTTGATAATAATTTAGGTAAAAACAATTGGAAGAGAAAGTATAAAAATTCATAAAAAAGACTATTATTACAACTATTCTTTCACTTGAGCACTCCTCTCTCTTAACCTTATTTAGTTTTATGTTACCCTAGGTATTTTAACAATTATTTATGCACAAGAATTTGGAAAATAAAAAAGTTGAAATAAAAAATGATTATTCTAATAAGAGTTAATCTTATATACTTGAACAATATATATATTATCATGATTAGATGCATGACACATACACATAATTGGTATTACTATTAAAAGTTAAGATTTACTTAAAAACTTGAAAAGTAAAATAATTAGATTTACATATTAGCTTGTATGCCCATTGTTTAAAACAAACATGTACTTACATATTTATATTATTAAATTTCTACATTAAGGAAAGTACTTTGTTAGGTGTTATGAGAAGATAGATAAAATGAGATATTGATAGTGGTTGTTATTTGCCTTGATTATATAGATCCACTATTATAAAAAAAAAAAATCCTTATTTACCTTGATTATCGTATTTGTTTAATGAATGCTTTCTTATTCGTACTACGCATATTACTCTATCTAAATGGTTCGTTTCTTACTGGTATCATGTATTTTTCTCTAACGAAATACCCTTTCTTGCGTCAAACAAGTATTCACGTATAATCATGTGCCTCTGCATTGTTTTGATATAACCACCGTAGTACTATTACCAAATTTTATATTTCATTTGCCACTATGTTTTCTACAAAACTATTGACAAAGTGATTTCAACCTTTGTGTGACTTTTTTCTCTTCTATTCCTCATTTATTTTTTCTTCTTTCATACCAAATGTCGTCTGATTGATTCTCTTAATTGCGGAACGACACTTAAAGAAATAAATTGACATCGGCGACTGCTACTTACATCTTCATTATGTACCTTATATACATAGTTTAGAAAAATTTGTGTTTATTCCATAAAAACATGAAATTATTTCCATAAACTATGTGAGATCTTTTAACCACAAGTGAGTTATAAATTAACCACATTTAATTTCACTTCTATACTTTCACACAAGCCATTCCTATCATAAAAGACTGTCACACTCATTCAGAGGAGTCCTCCAAAATGCAAGTTGTTTTCGTAATTTGTCAGCCTGCATTAGAACTACGAAAGGGGCCAAATTGTATAAGTTTCAACTTGTGTGGTAAATTATAACTATCCCCAACTTCGTGTCCATCAAATTATGAGGTGTGGCCGAAGAGGTTTTTTATTTTTTATTTTTATTTTTTTATATCAATTACTTCTATAGAGCTTGATAGTTCTTTGATGGAGACTTGGAAGCATGTTCTTAATTCAAGCCAAAAATAGTTAGATTTTGGTGATTTTGAGGTCATTGATGTTTTTCTTTTAAAAAATTAGATGCATCCGCAACTTCACCTGCATCGGCAATGCATCAACTTGCCGAAGACCTCCTACACGATATTGCTTTGGTGTTTGTGGGGAAAGAGAGAAGAAAAAATAATGTCAGAGTTTTGGGGGCAATATGTGCGTGGTCTTAGGTGATGCTCTGTGTTAGTCGTGGAGTGCCTTCCAGAATTCAACTACGTGTCGTGCTTAAATGCCATTAGATTGACGTTTTATGGTGGGAAAGTCCATTCCATTCCTACTATATCCAGTTACAGCTATGTTTTTAGATTCGGATCAAGAATCGACTCAGCCGAATTCAAAGGTTAGGGTCAATGGATTCAATCAGAATCAATAAGAGGTCGAATCGAATGACGTCATAAACACGTCTTATATATATTAATAATATATAAAAATACTAATGTATAAAATTTATCCATAAATTGGTGGTTTACAACTTCATTTACATATTTGATAAGTTTAGATTTAGTTCAAAAAGATTTAATTTAAAAAAATTTAAAAATTATAGATAAAAATGTAACTTGGAAAATAGATTAGATTATCCTACACTTTGTTAAAATAATGAAGGGCCAAAATGCAATTAACATAAATTTTTAGGGTATTCATCAATGCTAACAAATATCAAATCTAATCCATCTTCCTTATTCTTTCTTTGCCAATTCCTCCTCTCTCTCTCTCTCTCTCTCTCTCTCTCTCTCTCTCATTTTCTTCTTCTTTCTCTATATCAGAACTCTACTTTTTTTCTTTTATCACACACAATAAATAAACATGAAAGCTTTCTATTTTCTTCATTCTTTTCTTTTCCCCTCCTCTCTCTTCTCTTTTCTTTTCTCTATTTTTCCTATTTAATATGAAATCTTTCGAGAACTTAAAGAATTTAGAGAATGGAATTTTTCTCTTGAGTTGGGTTCTTAATGAAACATTTCAGATTCAATAAAAAGAACAATTACCTAAGCCATGAATTAATCTCAGATTCAAGCAAAGAAGAGGCATAAATGACAGTAGAGTTGAAGAAAATTATACGTGTCTATGGCATAAATCATGCTACAATCTCCAAGTGAATTAGTTGACATTCACCATTTTATTTGGATTTTTTAGTTGTTGGAAAGTTGCAAAGATATGAAACTCTCTACATGGTCAAAGAGTCAAAGGAAAAAAAACCATCAAGATAGAAAAATGGAAAAACCAGGTTCTAGCCGGTTTTTGGTCAAACTCGAGTTTTTACTGGGTTTGGCTGAGCTTTTGACAACTGGCTTTTGAGGAAGACTTGGACCAAACACTTGGCCGATTTGCGGTTTGACCAATCGGTCTGATCTAAATTTGAAAACATGGATTCCAGGATAAAGAGAGTCAGGCCACAGAGAAATTCCCTCTATGCCATTGATATTGTCATACTTTCTTAGTTTGACTGTTCCAAATTATTTGTCACCTCTGTAAATTGGCTAACATATTTGTATTTAATTTCTTCATTTAGTCATTTACTCCTTAGACACTCCGTAAATGTTCAATGCATGTGCCATTTTATGGGCCTACAGATTATTATCAAGGAAACTAAAACAACTTTTGTAGTATGTAACAGTTACCCAGAAACTAAAACCACAATAATCTAAGATTTGGTAAAATTTTGAAAACTATTGGTAAAACTTTCAATATCTAGGGTTTGAATAAAATATCTAGGGTTTGAATAAAACACGGGATTGGACAAGTATCATGCCCCACAATTCTTTACGTGCTAGTACAGCACTTAGCTTTTCATGAAACGAGAAATGGCACATCAAGTTTCAAATTCTATTCTCTGTTAATACAAATTGCAATTCATGAAGTGCGACAAACTTTACAAGATGGAAAGAGTAATACTTACTACATATTTTTTTTGTTCTTGGCTTGATTTATCCTCATAAATAAAATCATTGTATTGATTTAGTGAAGAAAAACAATTACTCCAAGCTCAAACTGCAACTATTATACAATCTTCAACAATTAGATAAGTGGAAAGCAACTAAAAAAGAGAAAGGACAACACTCTCTATAGTTTCAAGAAAGAAACCAGCTAGAATGTTGTTTATTAGGCACTTACAACATTACAATGTAATACAGCCCAAAGTAGTAAGCAAACTAATTAATTTTGCAAAACACAGTATATTATTACATCACAAATACGCTTCTGAAAGGTAAATTCACTGGAGAACTGCCCTGCTGACAATCTATTCGTTCTCCGAAATCTCAATACGCAATCCCTTGCGGAAACGAACACCAATAGGTATCCGGATTTTGTCTCCTTCATCGATAACTCTCCAGCTGAAAATTCAAATTATACAAGCTTTTTGATCAGTTATCATTTTCTTCTTGCAATCGTACATATTAAAAAACCGAAGAAGTTAAGTTGACATCAATTTATAATATATTAGAATTAGCTTCTATATATATTTAAGCAAAGATGGCGGGAATTGTGATTTAGAAACCCTTACGTATATTTTGTGGCCATGTAATGCAGAAAAATTGACATCTGCAACTTTGCAAAGTCAGCACCAACACAAAGCCTCACACCTCCACCAAATGCCATGAAATTTTTTGATCCCGTATGCAATTCTTGGCCCTTTTGATTGAAATAACAGCAGGGAAAACCTAAATTATTTTTGCTTGATTTTGTATAACTTTTGTTCTGCAATTTTATATTTCTTGTGTGTAAATTACTTGAATCTGTCAATAATTAAATTACCTCCCATCGCCATGGGTTAAATTCATAGGGGTTGTCGTATCGATTAGGATCCAAATGAATTAATGCTGGACAAACCATTATCTTCCAACCAGCAGGAATTGTATACCCTACAAATCATTCGTACTTATTAGTCAAAACTATAAGTTATAATGGAGGAAAGGAAGAACAAAGGAAACAAATTGTTTATTTTCTATAGTTTTACTACCATGAAAAAGATGCCCAACCCAAGTTACTAAAGAGAGTTTTTATTTTCTTTTTCTTTTTCTTTTTTCTTTTTTTCTGTAGGAGAAAGGCATCATGGGTTCAAAATAAAGAAAGTGTGATAAATGATTTTCAAGAAGATGCCAAATGACAGATTGAAGTATACCTTTTATTTCAACATCCTTGAGAACTTTGCGAAAAATCCCAGGGGCAACATTTATAACCCTAACTACTTCATTTATAACCTACAGCAGACAACAAAACTTAATATGTAAATGGTGTAGCTCACTATATGATTCAAATGCTAGATACAATGAAATGTCTGGTTAATTGAAACATACCATGTGCGTGAAAGCCATAGACTTGTACTCTTTCCATGAAACACGAGAATCTTTAGTTTCTCGCATTTTAAGAATTTTTTCATGCTCTCTCTGCAAAAATGATTAGCTATTTAAGTGTGAAGTAATCTTATATACTCTGTTAACGTAAACATCCAATGATAGTAATGTATACTGTCAATGTATAGAGAATATTAATCCTTTAAGTATTGAACTTGGACAAGAATTGGAGAATTAGAGGGTTGATACAGATAACAACGGGAGTAATTGTTTTGGAAAGTCATGGACCTTTAGTTCAGCCATAACATTTGGATGGTCATTTAGAAGCCTCAGGGTCAAAGTCATAACTGTTGCAGTTGTTTCATGGGCAGCAAACAGAAACAAGAATATTAAGTCCATCGCAATTTCTTCATTCAAAAAGGTGTCTTCTTTCTCTATTTGCTCAAGTAAATGATCCACAAGGACCCTCTTAGTGTGATTGCCTGAGCGCCTCATCTCAAAGATGTCCTTGATGACCTTCATTGCTTTCTTACGTCCCTGGAAAATGAAAATCATATAGTTCGTTCAATCTGATACAGCATATATGAAAGCATTTATATTTTACATATATTTATAATGAAAATCTTTTTTTTTTTAGGAATAATGGACATCGATCTTTCAATATAAAAAGAATTCCAAATGACGAACAACCACTACAATTGATTACTTGTAAGCAAGCATAGAATGCTGTTCCAGGGAAGTTGAGAGGAATTGAGATCATGCCATCCATGAATGTCGAATAACATTCTCTCAATTTTTTCCGAGCCTTGCTTTCTTCATAGCCAAGCATCTTCTCGGCAGCAAGTTTAAATAACATCTGTAGAAAATGAGAATGTTAATTACTACTTTTCATGCAATGCTCTGTACGTATAGTCCAAATTCATCCTGATTAATATAATCAAATAGTAGGATGCAAATTAATTTACCTCATCAGTTCCATCTTTAGCATCTACTTTTCCAAGTTTACTCCAAGAACTTAGATGCTCTCGAGTGTTGTCAACCATGTCGTTTATCAGCTTCTCTCTTAAGGCTTCAGGGCTAACAAGCTTCAACATTAAGCTCCTGAGGTACTTGTGGAAGTCTCCATGATAGCCAGCTAAACCTTGTTTCCCAGTTACCCGGGTGAAACTCTCACTATAGCAGAGCTCGAAACCATTATTTTCTTGCTGGAAGACACGGTAGTTGACTTCAGCATCAGTTGATATAACGACCGACTGCCCAAGTATATTCGTGCGAAAAATTGGCCCGTACCTGAAAATTCTCAAAGAAACAAAGAAAAGGCAAGACAAAAGCACAAATAAAATGCAAAAGAATATTAGAGGAGTCGACAAAAAGGGTAATACAATATATCTTACTGCTGATGATGTTATGTTACAAATGACATGATGATATGTTACAAAGGCAAATATCTGGGGTTGTTTGGATAGTAAATTTATCCTAAATAATATTTCGCTTGCATCATAAACACATTTTCTAATTTATCTTTTTATATTTCCAACCACCTTTTTATCTCACATACATCAAATTACAAAAAATGCTACAGTAATTATTCCAAATAATATTTCAAATAATATTCTATCCAAATAAACCCGTCTCTTAATTTATTACTACTACTGCTGTAATATTGTTAAAATATATATGTGATAGCTAGTCAAGAAGTGGTTAGATAACTAGGAGTATTGCGATTGGTCCAATAGTTAGAAGAGGGCTATTAGAATTTTTTTCATTGTCTAATTCAAGATTTGAATTCTGTATCTGATAGATTGGAATGAGAAGGGTGTAGAGAGGGGGTAGGAGGTAAAAAAAAAAGGGTTACGTATACCTTGAGATTCTTTTTTGTAGGAATGGTGGGGGATCATCTGTTGCATAAGGGGTCAAGTACTCAATTGTTTCTCCTATAATTGGTAGCCCCATCGAACCTGGTGGTAATACCCCGTTACACTTGGGGTTTCTCCACCTATACACCCAGCGGCTGAATAGTATAACAATAAGAGCAATGATAGCACAAGCAAACAACATGGTCCTTGGTTGTTGCACCCGAAACGCAAGGAAAGAAAGGAAAAGAGAGTAGCTAAAATTGTTACTGTTTTAGATAAAGAGTCGTTGTATAAGGAAATTTGGAAGTTGGAGCTGCTTAAATAGATGGAGAGCGCAAAGCTTTGATAACGACGCGCTGTAAGACTATTGGCTGTAGACATATTACCTGGTGATCCGAATTTCACAGGAAATTGATGGATCCGAGGCCTCACAATTTGTGTTTCGTACAATTTCGTATAAGTAGACCTCTAGTATAAATTAGTAGGATTTGGTGCAAATCAAATCCAGTTTGATGTAAATCAAGTGCAGTTTAGTATATGTTACCTTATTATTTGATGTAAATCAGATACACTTTGCTATAAGTTGATTATTGTCATTTAGTATAAGTTAAAGGCAATTTGGTATAGATTGAAAATAAATTGTTAATATTACATCAACATGTACGAAATGGAACTTGTGAAGCCCCATTTCCGAAATTGATAAAGAGGCAAAGGAAAAATTAGCTACAGTAGAAGGTCAATGTGAAGACCAATAGTGCTTGGTCAAGGTGGATAGAGAGGGATCCGGGGCCTCACAATTTGTGTTTCGTATAATTTTGTACAAGTTGACCTTTGGTGTAAATAAATAGGATTTCAGTGTGAATCAAATCCAATTTAATGTAAATCAAGTGCAGTTTAGTGTATGTTAATTTATCAATATTTGGTGATTTTCAGGGTGAATCAGATCCAGTTTGATGTAAATCAGGTGCAATTTAGTGTATATTAATTTATTAATATTTGGTGTAAATCATATATACTTTGGTATGAGTTGATTATTATCATTTAGTATAAATTGAGGGTAATTTGAGATAAATTGACAGTAAATTATTAATATATACTAACTTGTGCAAAATGAAACTTGTGAGGCCCCATTTTCGAGAGGAGAGGCAGCAAAAAATCTATCTTGGACGGGGTCAAAGCCGGTTGCAAATTCAAGCCACACGTGCAAGCTAGAAACCTTCTAGAAGTAAAAGGTAAAGCTCCCTCCTGGAAATTTGATCACTATAAAGGACAAGGACTTCTCCTCTCCACTATTCTTTCTTCATTTCTTACAATACACATATATACATATGACATGTATCTTTAATTATTAACAAGGATTAAAATTAGTCAAATTTAAAAGAGATAATTTTAGAAACCTCCCTTAAGGTTTCTACTAATTTTAGACAGCTTCTCTCATGTTTTGAAAATTACACATACTTCCCCTAGAACATAGATTTGGGTTTCACCTTGATGATGTAAGACCAAAAAAGTATATGAAAGTCCAAAATTGCCCTCATCTAAATTTCCTTAATATGAATAATCATTAAAATTTTTTAAAAGTTAAGAATACACTTGTATAATACCAAAATTATGAGTTTTATTGCTTAGCTAATGTCTTGATATTTTCCATCCCCATAATTTTCTATATCCACCCAAATTTTCAAACTTTTTTCACTTCTTCTTCCGAACAAACTCTTTGTCTTAGATGTCAAAATCCACCATTGCAATTCTTAATTTACCATCTTTATTTCTCTATAGATTTCTTCCATATATTGCTCACCAAACCGTTGGTTATACAACTCACAATCCTTATCTTTTTTCCACTCAAACATCCAAGTTCTCAATTTCCAAAATTCTTTTAACCTCTGCTCTCAACATTTGGGTTGGTCATCCTAAATCAACCCACATTTTTTTTTCTGAATTGACACAATTTTGTTGAGAGCAAGTTTGATGTCTATTAAGATGATCCAGGCAAAATATCAACAAAGTGCAAGTTTGGAGTAGTAATTTTAATACAGTCTATCAAATTATACTTTCCCGTAATCCAATAGATTTTTTATATTCAATGATATGAACAATTGGGTTGTTGATAGTGATGATTGCTTCCATCATCATCAACAGCAGTGACATATTTGAGTGATAGAAGAAAGGAGGCATCTTTCTTGATTATCATATTTGAGTAATAAAAGGTTATTATTTAATGGTCAAGGCTAAAATAATTTGGCCACAATATATAGCCTGGTTAAGAATAATTGTTTTCCTTTCTTCATTTTCTTTTTTTCTGTTATCTTTTCTCTTTTTTTTTATCAATGGTTTATCTTTTGAAAAATTATGAATGTTATTATAACATTGTCTATCATCAAGGGAGGTAAGTGTAATATTGAAAATTTCAAGGGAGCTCAGTGAAATTGTCAGAAACCTCAGGGGAGGTTTCTGAAATTATCTCAATTTAAAATGATCTTGTTACTTCTTAGTAAATAATGACACGTGTCATTCATCCAAATGTACATTGTAGGAAATTGAGAGAGAATTCATTGGAGAGAAACCAAATCCTTCCCTGTTGCCTAAACATCCACTGCCCCGCACGTAATCCGCCCAACGCACCTAAGGGAAAAAGTTTATAATGAATAAAAATATATATAATTAGTAAAAAATATAATTAATAATTTAGTATAAATATATAATTAGTAAAAGGTATATCATTAATAAAAAGTGTATAATAGAATAAATGTATCATTAATAAAAAGTGTAATTAGTAATTTAGTATAAACGTATTAGTATAACTAATCAATAATTTATATTAGTATAAATATATAATTATTAGTATGATTGATAATATTAATTATATTACATCTACATAATTTGATATCTATAACTAATAATATAATTACTATAATTAAAATATTAAATATGTTATACATGTAATTGTAATATATTCTTATGATTTTTCTTAATGCTTGATTTTCATCTTTTTTTGTCTTTTGTGGGATGAAAAGAAACAACATTTGTTGGGTTTTGTAGAAATAGTTTGATTTTAGTTAATTTAGAAAATGATAATGTGCGTTAAATCATTAAATAGTGATGATTGGCCTCTTATTTGTAGACATTCTTCATCGTCTTTTTTTTTTTAAGTTGGTTGTTTTTAATTTTCATTTCTAGAAATAGTTTAAATGACAAAGGTGATGCCTTATGGTGAACTTTGTCCAAGATATAGTGGTATTCATATGCTGCTATTCACGATGATGACGATGGCAACTTCTTATGGTCAAGTTTCTTGAAGTTTTGCCAGCACCTAATAATGAAGTAGATGAGCTTTTGAATTTTGAATTTTGAATTTTTCTTTTTTGTTTTGGATATATTAAAGTCATTCAATCGAGGTTGAATTGCATAGACCAATTGAATCGCGACCTGGACACTGGACTAGTTCACTTATGGTTTGAATTTAAAAATATTGTCAAAAACATTTCAAATAATCTTGGAAATTAGGTGCACAAGTTCTCCCACTCATTCTCCTGCGTTCCAGATTCCAGAGCTTTCCAACAATTAATCTTTGGCACGTGCTACGTGTTTAGAAAAGTTGTGCAGATTTTTTTTTTTTTTTTTTGTTGACGAAGTTAGGTGCACAAGTTGAAAATGACGTTAGGTGCACAAGTTGAAAATAATTGCAAGGACTTCTGCATGCCTCCTTCTAGAAACTCTATTTAATTTAGGCACGCGAATAAAATTACGAAGAGCCCAGCCATTCATCTGCCGCGGATGCGACACGCTATTACGACAGCTTCTATTAGGTATTAGGATTGCAAATGAATCCAACTGCTCGCTAATAGTTTGAATCCAAGCTCAAGTTGAGTTCGAGTTGATCAAATCGAACTCAGAGACACGAGTTTGAGTTGATCAAGCCAAATTTAAACTCGAATTCGCGCTTACAGACACTTAGTTCATTAGTTCGCGAGCCGAATCGATTATATATATGTATACATTTTTTTATTTTAATAGTAAAATTACATACATACCCCTATTATTTTATTATTTGTTAAAAAATAATTATTTTATTTATTTTCTAAAACTACAATAATTATTTTTATTTTTTTAAGCTCGAGCTCAACTCGAATTTAAGTCGAACTCGCCCTCGAGCTTTACATTGAAAACTCATCGAATTCGAACTCGAGTTCGAGTTTCATAAAATTAAATTGATATTAGATTCAATTATGCCAAAATTCAACTCTACTCGATTCATTTGCACCCTGTCTCCTACCATGTAACGATCCCTTTATCATGAACAGTGGTTGTCAAATTAGTCAGGCTCATCCCTTTATTATTGATAGAATGGCAATTGGAACAGGTGTCCTGCAGAGTCTAGTCCCCAGAATTTTGGTACTAGTTCGTCTTATGCGTTCCCTGTTTTATAGAATTTTGGGACCAGTCAGTCCCAAAATATGTAACTAACTTGAAAGCATATGCTAAAATTGCACGTATAATAACATGTGAATTTATATTCACTGATTACTAATTTTGTTTAAACATAAACAACTAAAACAATATATATGATTTGCATGTTAGCGTATTAGTGTATTAATCATTCACCATAGAAAGCAATCAAGTCATCTGGGGGAACCATTGGATCTTGGTCCAATGGTATTGAAGGCGGTCACTTCGGATCGCCTTATCCGAAGTGGTGCCATAGCCGTGGTTCTTCCTGTCACCTCGGATAGATCTCGGCTAGGTCTCTGCGACCTCTTATGGGCCTCGGCCTTTATGACCCAAATGGCCGTCGTATCTCGGCCGCACGCGAGTGATGTCAGCTGGTCTGACATGTCATTGAGAGCCACCACTTTAACTGAAGACCCTAGAACCCTTTATTGGAAATATGCGGAACCACCTGACAAAGTGCCTGAGCTACTGTCCCCTGTCAGGAACAGAGGCCGCAGGTGCAGAGCGAAGCCGTAATCCTTAGAAAGCGGGACCCAGTGGCTTAAACCCATGGTCCTTCCCTCCACTTTCACACTCTATAAATACCTCCTGTTCACTACTCACAAGTAAGACTACTGTTGCACTCGTACTGTTCATTACTTTTTATTCTCTTTCTATACTGACTTGACCGTCGGAGTGATCTCAGGAAACAAAACCCCGCCTCTCACTTCAAGACAGCACTCCTGCCTCTTACTTTCACTTCACCGAAAGAGTAAGCTGAATTAGGT